AAAATTATACTTTTCTCTCCAGACCACATAGCAGCGCCTGAAAAAGTTACATCAAATTTGCAAAAAGAAACAAAAGGGGGAGTGTCAAGCCAAGGACCCAATTTCTCCACCGAGTTCAGTTCAGTCCTTCCTCTACCTCTCAAACTGAAACTTACACACTCCTCCCTGGGTATTTACCGTCATGAAACAGTTGACAAATTCCATGTCCCTCTTTTAGGAGGGATGTCTTCTTAAGAGTAAGTCAATGGCCAACCAGAAAGTAAGTGTTGGCGGTGAAGTAGCAGCTTTTTGGAAGCTAGATCACGCAGAGAAACTTCTCAATTTATACTTTAAAAAATAAGTTTGCCACATTCATGTGAGACACAACATCCTATAGCCATCTTCCTTCACTGTTTCAAAAAGACAGAACTTGCAAAGCTCTGGAATACTTTCCTCAAAATAAGTGGGTTCAGTAAAAGTTACGTTGTTTCCCTAAATACTACCTAACTTCATTGCATGTGCCTTTCCCACTGGTTATCTGGAGCATTCAGGGTACTAACCTATGGGAGGTATCTTGCCTAACTTTCTCAAGCAATGAGGCCCTGACAACACAGAAAGCAAATTGTTCCAAAAGGAGGATTTTAAGCCAAATTTTACCCTGCAGCACATTTCTCAGTGAGCTTCAACTCTGGGCCACAATGCTTTGCGGGTGCTGTGGCATCAGGGCTTCAGGTTTCCCTTGTCCAAAGTGGGCATGAACTCTAACATAGGAACCGCCTGGCTGTCTCACTGTAACCCTCAACTGCCGAGAACCCGCTGAGGACAACCACTTTTTGATAGGGTTCCTCAGTATTAGGGGGGAAGCTAATTCCCAATAATTGACCAAAGACAGTCAATTATGCTTATGTTCTATACAGCACGCTATTTTCTTAGAATTTATCAATCGCAGACCTGAAAAAACTTGAGACAAACTGGCACACAAGATTAGCCTGTCATACGTTCTGTGTCACCCATAACATCACACCTTTTTAGAAGAGTTTAAACCAGTGATTCTCAACCAAGGGACACTTGAGAACGTCTGCATGTATTTTTGACTGTCACTACTGAAGGGAAAGGACCTACTGCCACCCAGTAGAGACCAGGGATCTTGCTAAACACTAGACACTGCACACGACAATTCCCCACAACAAAAAATTACCAAGCCCAAAACGCCAACAGTGTGCAGGCTGAGTAATCCTGGTTAAACTAAAGACTACACTAGATGTTAGTCACTTACTAGATCTCACACCAAACGAGAATTTAGATCTCAGAATCTAGAAAATTCTATAATAGCCTCCCTTGGCCATTTCTTCCTACAGTCAAAAAAAAAAAAAAAAAAAAAAGTGAGCAGATCGTGCCCTGCTTAAGTAGTATTCACAAATGGGGATCTCAAGACACTGTGTGCAAGTTACTGATCCAGAACTAAGGCTTGGGCAGCTCTGATAAGTCATGCCTCCTGAGTTCAAAAAAGAAAAATGAACCCAAGCAATTAAGTGTAACAGAAAACTTTATAGTCCATAAAAATTAGTGAATTTGGACTTGCTGCAGTAGTGGGCAAAGTTCAGGATTGCTTCTATACTAACAAACTGTAGGACACTTCTATCCAAGCTAGTGAAGAGTACAGTATCCTTAGAGACAACTTCCACATGAGTTAACAAAAAGCTAGCTGCAAACCAGAGCACTAATGACTGGCTCTGCGAAGAGAAACCATCCACCCAAAGCCTGTGTAACCACCTAGTCAAACTTAAGGCCAAAGTGTAATAGCACCAGGCTGTAAGGGCTATCATCTAGCCTACGCAAAGCTTTTCCTAGCTGCTCAACTTATTCCAGTCCATTAGCAATTAAAAATCATAAAAAGTCTTGGGAGGCAATCACGAGCCACGTTCAATTTGCCATAGGTTTGCCAGACTAACGGGAACGAGACACATCACCACATTAAGATGCACACTGAATCTGTGAGTGGGAACCTATCCACAATGCCCAGCTATTTAAATGACTTTTTGGTAAAACAGAAGGCCTGAGACCTAGAAGGCGCAAAATGACTGAAGACCAGAGTAACTCTTAATTTTTATGGGAACAAGGTTCTGCACAATCTCCAATTATTTCCCTCAACCTACTGAAAACTCTAGACACCGGACAACTTTCATCCATTGGGGGCAGAGGGCGCTAAACAGTACTACTTTATCATGAAGATGAGGCCTAATGTTGCTAATACTTCAGTTAACCTTTTCAGGAGCCAGCTTTGGTAAAACCATACTTTTCTAAATTTAAAGATCAAAATACAATCTTTCCTATCAGTAGAAGACTAGTTAAAAACCAAGTTAATCGCACAACTCTTCCCCTAAACTGCTTTTTGGGAAAAGGGACAAATCCCAACACCCTCAACTAAAGGATGCAACTAAATGCAGTGTCAGGCTGCCAGATACAGGCTAATGCTCCTTCCAGTTTTGCTCAACTAGCCCAAAACAAGTACTGTACAAGGATTCAAAATCCTCAAGAATCAAGTACGTCCCCTACTTTATTAGTGAGTCAAAGCCCCAGGAACGCCTATCCTCATGGAAATTCCAAAGCAAATAATCAAAGTTTAAACTTAAGACATTTTGGTAAAAATGTAAAATATTTCAGTTGACTAACAAAGCTGTACTACAGAAAGAATAGTTTGCCCAAGATCTGGCCTCCTGTGATTTCACTCGTCTCAAACTTCCTTTTGGTGAAAAGTAAAAACCACCTAGAGCTGATCCACAGCACAGTAGTATCAGAGACCAGCAAGCAAAATGCAACCGTGCATTAAGGTAATACTTAATTTTTATTATTTCCTTATTTTTGTAATTAAAAAATCAGAAGGAAAATAATTATATATAATCCTTTCCTGTAGCCACTAAAGCCAGGAGGCAGGAAATAGCCTTCACAATCCTACTCAGGTTTTGCTGAAGGATCCGAGTGTTACGCAAATTACTTTAAAAAGCAGCAACGATGTACCGTACTAACAAATAGGAAGGTCGGTTAAAGCAGTTAAGTCCTTCTAAATAGCTGTCTAAAACAGATTCTGGATCAAGCAAAGAAGGTACCAAGAAAAACAAATTTTTAACTGCTATCAAAATTCCTATTCATTTAAACTTCTAGAGAAAACTACCCGGAGAATGTTCTAGAAAGAATAGTAGTCTTGAGTTTCCACTTTGTTTTAGTTAAAAAAAAAAAAAAAAAGAACAATTTACTTCTTTCAACTTTCAAAGAATACCCCAACTAAGACCACACCTTCACGCACAACATGGCTTTCTGGTAACTAAGACAGCAATAACACCCTTGTTGCAACAATCCAGCGGCTGGGTGTGAACTTCACTACTTACTGGATGAAAAACAGTCTCCTGAAAGGTACTGTGGATGAAAGGCGCCTTTGACTTTTAAACAGATTTAACTTTTTAAGATGACTTCCAGGTTACTTAAATTTGGGCGCGCCTTGTATTTTTACATTACATTTCTTTTCCATTTCCCGTCAGAAAAACTTTCCTGTTGAAGATTCCGCACACAACGTTGTGGCTCACACCACCTCTACGCGTAAACTGTGAAAGCAATTTACACGTAAAGGACCAATAAAAGAGCGTAGACTTGTCTCTAAATCTTTAATTGGCTACGGTGACCTGAATTTACTGCATGAGTTACCTTCTAGATCTCAAGGTTTAATCAACACGAGGATAATTTACATAAATATGCAACTTTTAAAAGTAAAAACCAAGTCCAACGAATATTTGAGCACCTACTAAAAGCTGCAGAACTCGAGCAGTGACGCATTTAGCGTTAATAAGGTTGTAAGGATCGTGCTTCAGATGCTGACTTGATGGAACTTCCCCAGTATTTGGGCCAAAAAGTTTTTTCTCAAAGGGGGGAAGGGACAGTTTGGAGGCAACAAAACCAAACTCGGCCGTTTGTTGCATTTACGTGAACTTCCCGTTCACCGTCCAGTCTGCACGAAACCAAGCGAAGTTTTGGTAACTTTTTCCAAGAACAGTCTCAGGTCTCCTGAGACGAGCGCCGGAGGCTCGCCACGCGGCCGCTCGGTGCTGGGCCCCGCGTCCGCGGCTCTCCTCGGGGAGACCGGGGGCAGCTCTCTGCGCTCGGGGTCCGGCGGGTGCACGAGCAGCCCCAGAACCCCCAGGGTCGCGGAAGGAATGGGGGCTGCGGGACCGCCTGTCCTGGTGCCTGAGGGCGGGGAGGGCCTCACCTTGCTGCGGTCCTCCTCCTGCTGCTGCAGCAACTCGGGAACCGCGGCCATGGCGACGCGGGCCTCGAGCGGGGGCCGTCTGGCTGCGCGAGGAAAGAAGAGGCTGGGCCGCGGCCGCCGTCAGGGCGCCTCTCAGGGGCGGCTGCGGCCCCGCCTCCGCTAGCCTCCCTGCCCGACGGCGGTGGGAGGCCTCGGGACTCCGCCACCATCCCAGCAGCCCCGGGAAAGGCGAGCGGCACGCCACGTGCTCCCCCAGAGCGGCCTCCCCCGTCCCCGCGGCCGTCATCTTGGAGCCGGGCAAAGAAGCTACGCGGGGCCTACCCTCGCTCCGGGCCACGCGGAAACCGCCGACCGCAGGGGCACCACGGCGACGCGGAGCTACGGACACTGCCAACGAGGAGCGTTTCAAGAAAGACTACGCGGTAGCGTGGGGGAATTTATTGCTCAGCCAGAATCCAAGATGGCGGCGAGCTGTGACGTAATAAGATCTCGCGAGAGCGAAAGGGCGCGATTTGAAAGTTCCCGCGCTTCCGCCCGAGGGGAGGGACTCCCCAAGGATCGCCAGTCTATGAAGGTGATCGGAAGCTAGGGGTGGGGCGTGAGCGCCGCAGTGCGTGCTGGGACCGCCGTTCTGGGGCGGGGCCTAACTCGAGCCCAAAGCGCGGGACTAAGGAAAGTAAGGTCCAGGGAGGGTGTTGTCGTTCTGGAAGTTAAGCGAAGCGTGGTGGCTTCTGAGGTACCTACCCCTGCCGTTGGCCGGGCTTCTCTTTAAACCGTCGCTTCCTTAATCCTGACTCCCACCTGAGGGGCCACAGCCGTCCTGTCCTCACCTTGGTTCCACACGCATGGCGGCCCGCGAGGCTGCCTTCTGGGGATCACGGCGGTGGGCCCTGCCGACCGCCGCTTACTGGCTCGGGCCTGACGTCCCTTCCGAAGCTCGGGTCCGCCGGCTGTTACATGGGGTCGCAGTAGTACCCACCGGAGAGCGTGTGGGTTGCAGGAGAGGTCTCCGCACGGGATGCCCTGCACGGAACCCGGCGTTCAGGGGTCGGCGGGTAACGGGTGACTGCCCGTAATGGCCGCTGTGCGCGCGCTTTCCGTTTGTTCCCTGTCTCCCTCCCGATGCGTCCTGTCCTGCACGTTGAGTGTTGCGGCGCCTGCCCCAAGTTGTCTGCTCTTCGTCAGTTAAGCGCCAGTCCAGGGCCCGCGTGGTTGGGTTCGCGCGCTTGGCTGCGGGGCCCCGGGTTTCCCGGTTGGGATCCCGGGATCGGACATGGCGCCGCTCGTCAGGCCCGGCTGAGGTGGCGTCCCACATACTACAACTAGAAATGATGCGGGTCGGTGAGCTGAAGAGTCGAAAGAAAGATTTCTTGGACTTTCAAGGTCTGGCAGTAGTGCTCTTTTATTTAGAGAATAGTGTGGAATAGCACGGGGACAGGAGCCATGGGCAGTCAGAGCTGCTGCTGCTGCTGCTTGCGGATAGGACCCATGGGCAGTCAGAGCTGCTGCTGCTGCATGGGGACAGGACCCATGGGCAGTCAGAGCTGCTGCTGCTGCTGCATGGGGACAGGACCCATGGGCAGTCAGAGCAGCTGCTGCTGCATGGGGACAGGACCCATGGGCAGTCAGAGCTGCTGCTGCTGCATGGGGACAGGACCCATGGGCAGTCAGAGCTGCTGCTGCTGCTGCATGGGGACAGGACCCATGGGCAGTCAGAGCAGCTGCTGCTGCATGGGGACAGGACCCATGGGCAGTCAGAGCTGCTGCTGCTGCTGCATGGGGACAGGACCCATGGGCAGTCAGAGCTGCTGCTGCTGCTGCTGCTGCTGCTGCACGGGGACAGGACCCATGGGCAGTCAGAGCTGCTGCTGCTGCTGCTGCTGCATGGGGATAGGACCCATGGGCAGTCAGAGCTGCTGCTGCTGCATGGGGACAGGACCCACTGGCAGGAGGAGCTGCTGCTGCCCCTGCAAACACGGGTTGAGAGTAGGGCTAAATTTAAGGTGTAGGTGTGTGAGTTATCTCTTTACAAGACAAAGGAAAGAATATGTAAAAAAGTCATTAAAATGGTATCAGTGCAGGTGGGGTCTTGTTATTGGGTGGTCTTATAACTTTTAGATAAGAATCAAACCGGATTAAGTAAATGGCAGAAGACGCCACCTTAAATATTATCTTCAGCTAAAGACAAAGGAGAATGTTGGGGGGGGTCACTTACTTGAGGTTACCAGACAGTAAACAACTTAAGTCCTTGCCTTCCCCAGGAAGCGTTTCCAGAGATAAGGTCATCCCCCTTCCCTCCTGGTGCAGAGAGTGCGACACCCCCCCACAGAGGGAGACTTCCTTCACAAATGCAAATGTCTCATCAGAGGGCAAGCAAATTCCACTCCTCAGAGCCTCCTCATCTGCATTTTTTTAAAAGTAACCAGCCTAAAATAATCCTCATCAGAAGGACCCACAGCTAGAATATACAACTGTGGGGGCGGGGGGACGGGGGGGGGGGGGGGGCGCCTTGGGGAGAAGAAAAGAAAGAGTTTGGCGGTAGATGTTAGCTCAGAGCCGATCTTAAAAAACAATAAGCGCGGTCCTTCTGGTATTGCCCAGAGGCTGTCTTTGAAAGCGCTTTGCCCGGACATGTTGGGAAAGCTTACTGCATACGGTCTTCGTGTGCGGCCTTCACCTCTACGATTCGCGGGTGCAACACGTTTGGGATCTAACACCACTTTTCTCTTTCTAGGGACACGAATTAAAAAGACCCTCGGCGCTGAAGTGGGCTAGAGGGAAGTGAAAAGCATCTGGAGATGAAGGCCTTTCAGAGCCTCTGCAGGCGGCTGAGCCGCTCGCCCGGGTCTCCTGCAGAGCCAGCCCCGAGCGCGGCCTTCTCCGCTTCCTCGTGCTCGTGGGGCCGGAAGAAAACAGTGAATCCTTACGGAAACGTGGACCAAGGGAAGTACTCTGATTTAGTGCAGTCCGTCTTGTCGTCCAGAGCTCGCGCGCAGACTCCGGAATCCTTGTTCGAGGAAGACGCTCTCCTCTACGGGCCTGTGAGTAAGGGGAAGCCCCCAGAGCGCGGTGGGGAAGCGGGAGCGCCGCAGAACTGGTTTCCTCTCTTCAGTCCGGAGAGGGGGCTGAGCCCACACGCCGCAAGTGATCCTGCAATCCCTTTGAAAATCCCTCTGCAAAGGACTGTGATTCCCAGTGTGACCCGCATCCTTCAGCAGACCATGACATCGGAACAGCTGTTCTATTTGGAGAGGTGGAAACAGCGGATGATTCTGGAACTGGGAGAGGATGGCTTTGCAGAATATACTTCAAGTAATTACCTCAATCCTGGTTCCATATGATTTACTATGTTTTCTAGAGTATAGAACACCAGTGTCAAAAGAATGAGTTTTGGTTTTTTTTTTAACTTTTAACTAGTGAGGAACTACTTTCGAATGACAATAATTAGCATTAAACAGCACTTTATGTGTATTAAGTCACTTAATCCTCATGACAACCTCATGAAGCATGGATGCTATCATCCCCCTTTCACAGATGAAACTGAAGCACAGAGATCAAGTTCTCTGACTAAATGATGTATAAGATTCATTTATTTTGTAACTACAAACTTAAGTATTAGAATTGCATGTTTTCTTTGATTATGGAAAAGAGTCAATAGCCAGATGATAGAATTCTAGTTGTTTGCTAAGCATTCTGTTCAGAATCTAGTAAATACTGCCTTGCTCTACTGATCAGCATAGACTGACTTGTAAACAAGAAACCAGAACACATGATCTGTATCTAGATCTTGGTAAATTGAGATAATCAAATGCTCTTGATTAGGAACTGGGAATAAATAAACTTTAGCCTTCAACTCCTAACTTACTAACTTCTTAGACAAGTGAGAATAACTTCCTTAAAACAGATTCATTCAGGGGCAGGCCCCGTGGCCAAGTGGTTAAGTTCGTGCGCTCCGCTGCAGGCGGCCCAGTGTTTCGTTGTGTTCGAATCCTGGGCGAGGACATGGCACTGCTCATCAAACCACATTGAGGCAACGTCCCACATGCCACAACTAGAAGGATCCACAACGAAGAATATACAACTATGTACTGGGGGGTTTTGGGGAGAAAAAGGGAAAAAAAATAAAATTTAAAAAAAAAACAGATTCGTTCAAAAACAAGATGAAAGAAAAACATTGGCGTTGGTGAATTAGCTCGTCCCTATCAGGATTATATAGTTGTCTTTTGTTAAAGTTGTTTTGCTGTGATCATCCCTTAACCTGTGCCTCCCAGAGAGCAGTGTCTGTACCCCTAGTGGTACACAAGCACTTTTATTTTTAATTTTAAGAGTAATGTACTTATTTTGAAGTATTTTTAGAAAAACTGTATGTGTGTGCATAACACATTAAACCTGGTCACATGTGTTTTAAAGAAAAAAACTGTATAGGTGGCAGGGCATCTGGATATGGCAAAAATGGTCAAGGCCCTAGCCCCTTATAACATTCCTCAGCTGTTTGGGGCAAGGAGTATATGCAGGGGTCTAACTGCCTTCTTAAGATAGTTAATTAGTGACAACGACCAAACTATTCTGTTTTCTAAACAAGCAACATGAAAAAAAATCTTTTAATGACAGCTTAAGTTTTTTCTCTGTACAACTAGATTTTAGAATGGACATTATTTCCCCATGAGAAATTCTTTTGATTTTCCTTAAACCAGGAATGTCACAGCTTGTGGGACTCTAAGAAATGTAAAGGCAGAAACCTGTTGGCACATGTGGGAACCTAGGTCTGTAGCTCTTCACCCAAAATAAAGAAATGGTGGCCCCTTTGATAAAGGAGAGGAGTTTCTGTTTGGAATATGAATTAGCCCCACTATCCCAGGCAGAGAGAAAACTATGGTTGTTTTCCAGAGTCAACTGTTGATCTAGATTACTACTCTGATGTGTTTCGCAGTTAACTCAGGATCAACCTTAAGAAACAGGCAGAATCATGGTTTGGTTTTTTTTTCCATAAGGGGGCACTCACCTACAGATTAGTGTTGTGGCCCAAAAAAAGGAAGGAGAAGAAAGAAAGACAAAGAGCGTTTCATAACCTACAAAATTGATTAATGAGTCAGGAGTGGCAGTTTTAAAAATACTAGACTGATAGATTTTTTTTCTGCCTGGTCTTGCCAAAGTCCAGGGCATAGAGATGTGCCCAGTGCTGGCGTTCTCAAACACTCGGTCAGCTTCCCAAGCATCAGTTTACCTCTTGGATATTGCTGAGGATAAGAAAGTGTTGATCATAGTGGAAAGGGCTGGGGTTTATTTTTGCAGTTTTTTGCTACACTGATTTTTAAATCCTAAAATATTATCCATCCTATCAGTTCTGTCAGTCAGAATATTGGACATTCGTTATTTTTTTTTAATGGATGTTATATACTGGGACTTGAAAACATTTTACCTTTCATTCCTTTAATTTATTGAGTGAATACTCTGACTTGATGGTATCTGCAAATCTTGAATCTTTTTAAATTTATTTTGACAAATTGAATCATTTTTAATGTTCTGAGCCTTACAATCTAAAGGATCCTGTAATCTAGATCCCCATGTCATTGCCTCTTATACATGAAGAATCCACCCAGGAGTTAAGTCTGCAGTGGGAGATGAGTTGTCTGTTTGCTTGGTAGTAATATGGTTTGATACTGCCTCATTCGATGAGATTCTTTTCCTCGTTTTCTGTAGGTCTGTCTCCAAACAAATAGATTTCCTACTCTGTTTCTTTTCCTTTTTGTTTTTTTTAAAGGTTGGCACCTGAGCTAACAACTGTTGCCAGTCTTTTTTTTCTTCTTCTTTTTCTCCCCAAATCCCCCCAGTACATAGTTGTATATTCTAGTTGTGGTATGTGGGACGCCGCCTCAGCCTGGCCTAAGGGGCAGTGCCATGTCCGCTCCCAGGATCCGAACCTGCGACACCCTCAGCCGCCGAAGTGGAGCACATGAACTTAACCACTCGGCCACGGGGCTGACCCCCCTACTCTTTTTCTCTGTGTATCTAAATAATGGTCCCTGAGTTTGCCTCCCTCACTCTGCTGTGTGGTAGAGTGGAATGAACATAGACTGTGTGCCAGGCTGCCTGCCCAACTTTTTGCTTTTGGGCAAATTAGCAGCACTGTCTAGCCCTCAAAAAGTGTATGAGCAGATAAATTCAGAACAGAGCAACTGTCTTAGGCTGTTTTAGCCCTAAAAAATAGTGCAGGGGAAGAATATCACAAGTTCCCTGTGCTCAAGTCCCACAAGATCTACTTTCTTGTTTTTAATTTGTAGGTGCCTCGATTTTCATTTCTTGCCAGTCACTAGGCCTCTTAGTAAAAGGATTCCCCCACCTATGTTCATCGTTAAGTTTTGGTTGTAAAAAGAAGTATAAACAAAAGTGCAATTCCCTAAATTTCTTTCTTAGAACCAGTTAACTTACTAAAATGGATACTTAAATTCACCGTACCATAAACTAGGTGGGATTCTATCGCACCCGGATCTTCAGTTCTAGTTTTGGCCTAATTCTACCAGAAATACTTTATTTTAATCCCTTTTATTTTCTAAACTATTCTAGTCCCTTTGGTTTTCAAAGTGCATTCCTAGGTTTCACAAGAGTTTGAAATGTGGTGTGTTAGGGGTTGATACTTAAAGGTAACTTTTATGTAATTTTTAGTTTTACTGTTCAGAGTTTTTTAGAGTATTTGTTTTTTAGTGCTAGCTTTGGTTTTGTTTGGTTTTCCTTTTCCCCTGATTTTCCTTTCAGACATATTTTTACAAGGAAAACGATTCCATAAAGCCTTGGAAAGCATACTTTCACCCCAGGGAAACTTAAAAGAGAGTGATGAGAATCTCCTTGAGTCTGGCTACATCGAAAGTGTCCAGCATATTCTGAAAGATGTCAGTGGAGTGCGAGCTGTTGAAAGCGCTGTTCATCATGAGACCTTGAAGTATGTAGGTCTGCTGGACTGTGTGGCTGAGTATCAGTAAGTATTAGATTGTTTCCATCAAAGTGTAGAAGTGAGTGAATGCAGGGTGGGACAGATGGTGCCTGTCAAACACTACTTTTCCTCTTAACTCCTGCTTCAAGGTGCAGCCTCTGAAAGGTCGAAACCTATGTGATAAGTAACAGAATTGGGAACGGGGCTGGAGGTAAGGACAGATACAGGGTGAAGAGTCACGTAATCCATGTAAATCTGTGTTCCAAAATCACAGTGTTTGGTGGAGAAAAGGTAGAATTTTTCAATATCTCTAGGATAGCCTGTTTTCCAACATGTTTCTTCTCAAAGCAAGGTACCAGCCAGAAGACCCAATTTAATTCCTGCACTTTCTTTCCTGTTGCCCTAAAAATAGCATCTTGATATGTTAGCCCTGAAAATCCATTCTTTTCCTGGCTTCCAGGCAGTGTTTGACATGGATAGGAACTTTAAGCTTACCAAAGCTTCCTACAGTTTTCTAATTGCTGCTGTGTTACTGTTTTTCCCACTTACTCCAAATTCCAAGGGTGGATATAACCTGTAGATACCCCTATTCCAAAAAGAGAATGTGAGCAATACAACAGAATTGGGGGGAAAGTCTGTGAGTTTAACCCTTGGAACTCTAGTTAAAATTTAAATTTTTAAAAAATTGACAGAATATTTATTAGTCTGGAAACTGTGTTTAGGCTACCTAACAGTTTTCTGCCATAGGTACCTCATATCCAAGAAGAGCCATGTGTGCCTAGAAATTTCTATTTTTGGCTCCACTTTAGATTATCCAAGGGAGACATACAATCAGTTATACCTAAGGCCTACAAGAAGTTACTGACACCAAACACTTTTCATAGGGATTATAAAATATGTCCACAGTACTGCTGTTTATTTGGTATTTTTGCTCTTTAGGTTAAGAGCATTAACATTGAGAATATGAACATTGCACATTTTTGAAACTAAGGTTTTAGAAATTTAAAAAGAGTTTTTAATGGGTAATATATAGACTTGGTTAATTTAAGCTACTAGAAGTAAATCTCCCACCCCTACTCTTTAAAAAAAAAAATATTTTTAATGTGGTGAAATACACATGACATAAAATTTACCATAAAATTCACCATTTTTAAGTATACAGTTCAGTGGTATTAAATACATTCATAATGTAGTCTAAGCATCACTATCTATCTTCAGGACACTTTTCATCTTATAAAACTGAAACTCTGTACCCATGAACTAGGAACCCCTTCTATTCCCCCCTACTTCCAGCACCTGGCAACCTTTCATTCTACTTTCTGTTTCTATGAATTTGACTACTCTTAAGTACTTCATATAAGTGGAATGATACAGTATTTGTCTTTTTGTCACTGTCCTATTTCATTCAGCATAATGTCCTCAAGCTTCATCTATGTTGTAGCATATGTCAGAATTTTTTTCAGGCTCATTAATATTCCATCGTATGTATGTACTGAATTTTGCTTATCTATTCATCTGTCAATGGCCACTTGGATTGTTTTCATGTTTTAGTCATGAATAATGCTATTATAAACCTGGGTATACAAATACCTCTTCAGGCTCTTGCTTTCAGTTTTTTTGGATGTATAGTCAAAAGTGGAATGGCTGGTTCATATGGTAATTCTATTTTTAAGTTGTTTAGGAACTGCCATACTATATTCCACAGGAGCTATACCATTTTATATTCCCACCAATGGTGTATAAGGGTTCCAATTTTTCCACATCTTTTTTTTTTTTTTTTTAAGATTTTATTTTTCCTTTTTCTCCCCAAAGTCCCTTGGTACATAGTTGTGTATTTTTAGTTGTGGATCCTTGTAGTTGTGGTGTGCAGGACGCCGCCTCAGCATGGCTTGATGAGTGGTGCCATGCCATGCCCAGGATCCGAACCAGCGAAACCCTGGGCCTTGAAGCAGAGCACGCAAACTTAACCACTCTGCCACTCCTTTTTAACACTTGTTATTTTCTGTTGCTTTGATAGTAGCCATCCTAATGGGTGTGAAGTGATATCTCATTGTAGTTTTGATTTGCATTTCCCTAATGATTAGTGGTGTTGAGCATCATTTCATGTGCTTATTGGCCATTTGTTGGAAAGACTGCCTTTTCGTGGGGCTGGCCCTATGGCCAGTGGTCAAGTTGGCGCACTCTGCTTCAACACGAGGGTTTACTTCAGGGCTCTCTATTTTGTTTCATTGGTCTATATGTCTGTCTTTATACTACTATCACTATTTTAATTACTGTAGCTTTGTAGTAAGTTTTGAAATCAGCAAGTGTGAATCCTCCAGCTTTGTTCTTTTTTAAGATTGTTTTGGCTATTTGGAGTTCCTTGAGATTCCATATGGATTTTAGGATGGGTTTTTCTGTTTTTGCAGAAAATGTCACTGGGATTGTCATAGAGATTGCATTAAATTTATAGATTGCTTTGGGTAGTATGAACATTGTAACAGTTAAATCTTCCAATTTATGTACATGGAATGTGTTTCCATTTCCATTTATTTATGTCTTTAATTTCTTTCAACAGTGATTTGTAGTTTTCATTGTAGGTGTCTTTCACTTCCTTGCTTAAGTTAATTCTCAAGTATTTTATTATTTTGATGGAATTATAAATGAAACTGTTTTTGTAATTTCCTTTTCAGGTTGCTTGATATTCATGTATAGAAATGAAGTTGATTTTCATGTGTTGACTTTATATCTTGCTACTTTTCTGGATTCATTTATTAGTTCTACCAGTTTTTTTTTTATTCCTTCGGGTTTTCAACATGTAAAATCATATCATGCGTGAACAGAGATAATTTTACTTCTTCCTTTCCAATTTGCATGTGTTTTATTTCTTTCTCTTGCCCAGTTGCTCTGGCTAGAACATCTGGTACTCTTGTTGAATAGAAGTGGCTTTGAAAGCAGACAGCCTTGCCTTGTTGCTGATCTTAGAAGAAAACCTTCCACTCTTTCACTATTGAGACTGATGTTCGCTGTGGGTTTTTCATATATGGCTTTTATTTTGTTGAGGTAGTTTCTTTCTCTTCCTAGTTTGTTGAGTGTTTTTATCATTAAAGGGTATTTAATTTTGTTGAATGCTTTCTCTGCATCAATTGAGATAATTATGTAGTTTTCTTCATTCTATTAATATAGTATATTACATTGATTGATTTTTGTGTGTTGAACCATCCTTGCATTCCAGGAATAAATCCCACTTGGTCATAGTGTATAATCCTTTTAATATGCTGCTGAATTTGGCTTGCTAATATTTTGTTGAGGATTTTTGCATCAGTGTTCATAAGGGATGTTGCTCTGTGGTTTTATTTTCTTGTAGTGTCTTTGTCTGACTTTGGTATCAAGGTAATGCTGGATTTATAGAATGAGTTAGGAAGAGTTCCTTATTTTATGCCCTTTTTTGAAAAGTTTTAGAGGAGTTGATAATAGTTCTTCTTTGAATGTTTGATAGAATTCACCAGTAAAGCCATCAGGTCCAGGGCTTTCATTTGAGAGATTTTTGATTACTGATTCAATTTCCTTGCTAATTATAGATGTAGTCAGATATTCTATTTATTCCTGGTTTAGTCCTGGTAGGTTTTGTGTTTCTAGGAATTTGTCCATTTCATCTACGTTATCCACCTTTTTGGCATACAATTTTTCATGATATTCTCTTACCCTCTTTTTTTTAAAGATTTTATTTTTTCTTTCTTCTCCCCAAAGCCCCCTGGTACATAGTTGTATATTTTTAGTTGTGGGTCCTTCTAGTTGTGGCATGTGGGACACTGCCCCAGCATGGTCTGATGAGCAGTGCTAGGTCCATGCCTAGGATCCAAACCGGCAAAACCCCGGGCTGCCCAAGTGGAGCACACAAACTTAACCACTTGACCATGGGGCTGGGTACCCCCCAACCCCATACCTTTTGTTTTTTCTTCAGTAGAATCAGTAGTTTGTTCCAAATTCGTTTCTGATTTTTATAATTTGAATCTTCCCTCTTTTTTCTAAGTCAGTCCAGCTAAAGGTTTGTAATTTTGTTGATCTTTTCAGAGAACCAACTTTTGATTTCATTGACTTTTCTGTTTTCTATTTATTTTGTCTCTGCTCTAATTTTTTTTTATTTTCTTCCTTCTGCAAGCTTTGGCTTTGCGTCTTCATTTTCTAGTTCCTTAAGTTATAAGGTTATGTTATTGATTTGATTCTTTCTTGTTTTTTAGTGTAAGCGTTTATAGCTATAAATTTCCTCCTTAACACTGCTTTCACTGTGTCCCATAAGTTTTGGTACATTGTGTGTTTCTTTTCATTTGTCTCTAAGTATTTTCTAATTTCCCTTGTGATGTCTTTTTTGGTTGTTTAAGAATGTGTTTGATTTCCACAGTTTTGTTATTTTCCAGTTTTACTTCTGCTATTGATTTCTAATTTCATCCCATTGTGCAGAGAAGATACTTTGTATGATATCCGTCTTTTTAATTTGTGGCCTAACGTGTGGTTTGTCCTGGAAAGTGTCCTGTGTGCGCTTGAGAAGGTCTGCATCCTGTTGTTGGGAGTGTCCTGTGTGCGTCTAGTAGATCGAGTTAGTTTATGGTGTTGCTTGAAGTCTTCTGTCTGCTTGTTCTATCCATTATTGAGAATGGTGTATTAAAGTCTCCAACTATTATTGTAGAACTATATTTCCCCCATCAATTTTGTCAATTTTTGCTTCATATATCTTGCGACCTGTTATTTGGTGCATAAATGTTCATGATTGTTCTATCTTCTTGCTGTGTTGAAACTTTTATTAATATAGGATGTCTTTCTTTGTCTCTTGTCACCTTTTTTGATTTAAAGTCTAATTTGTCTGCTATTAGAGCCACCCCTACTCTCTTTCGGTTACTCTTTGCGTGGAATATCTATTTATATCCTTTCACCTTCAATCTATTTGCATCTTTGGATATACAGTGAGTCTCTTGTGGAGAGCTTATGGTTGGATCATGTATTTTTATGCATTCTGCCAGTCTCTGGCTTTGGCTTGGCAAGTTTAACCCATTTACATTTAAAGTAATTACTGATATAAGAAGGGACTTCTGTCATTTTTCTCTTTGTTTTCTGTATGCCTTATAGATTTTTTCTCTCTCATTTCCTGCATTTTACTGTGTTTTGTTCATTTTTTTGTAGTGAAATGTTTCAATTCCTTCCTCATTTTTTTTGTATATTATATAGCTATTTTTCTTGTGATGACCACAAGAATTACATTTAACATGCTAGTTGTAACACTCTAATTTGAATTTATACCAGCTTAACTTCAATAACATTCACGAACTCTGCTCCTTCGATAGCTCCGTCCCCATCCCTTTCAGTTGTTGATGTCACAAAATTATGTGTTTATATATTATGTGCCCCAAAACATAAACTAATGATTTTTTAGATGCATTAGTTTCTTAAATTACGTAGAAAACAAATGGAAATACAAACCAAAGTTACATTAATACTAGCTTTTAGACTAACTTTTTAAAAGTATTACTCTTTTAAATCACATAGGAACAAAAAAGTGGAGTTACAAGCCATTGTTACAATAATACTAGCTTTTATAATTGCCCATGTATTTACCTTTATTGAGATTGTTGAGCATCTTTAAAACTAAAAAAGCCTTTGTCTAGGACATATGCTATCACGTTTCCAGGGACAGTTTCTGTTGATTTACTTTTTTCCTTTGAATGGGCCATGCTTTCCTCTTTCTTTGTATGCCTTGTGATTTTTTGTTGAAAACTGGACATTTGAATCTGATATTGTGGTAACACTGGAAATCCTCGTCTCTCTGTACCCCCGAGGTTTGCTGGGTTTTGTATATTGTTTTGGGATTTTTATTGTAGGCTATCTCTGTGCTAAAAGTCAACCCTAAGGTGTAAACTTAAGATCTTCTCAGCTCTTTTCTGAGCCAGTGCCTTTCCCTGGACATGCACAGTCATTTTCTCATTCTCTCCAAATGTGCAGTTGCTTTTGGATGTGATAGTCTTTAGAGTTTGACTTCCAAAAGAGAAAAATGAAGTAGGGGCAGGGGGTGAAATGGTGCCAGCCTTTTAAATCCCCTGGAAGTCACTTCAGCCAGAGGAAGAAGGGCTTGCAACAGTAGGGGGAGAGGCAACAAAAATGGCCATCCTCCTCTTTGCCTACACCTCTGTGGTCAGAAACAGTGATAGAGCACAGATCCCTGATATTTGGAGGACTGGATGCTTTTTGTCCATTCTGACTGCCATAAGCTGTGTGTAAGCTGCTCCAGGAATATGTGCGTAGCTGCTACCATGCTAAGAGCTAATATTGAACAAAATTAACCACAATTTACCATCCAAGCCCTAAATAGACTCTAGATTTCTGTAATAGACAGATTTCTAGTTTTTCACAGTTACGAACTGTAGCAATGAACATGTCTCTTTGTACACTATTGTGAGAGTTTCTCTAGGCAGGTGCCCAGGTTCATTTGTTTGTTTTGGTGGGTGACACGCAGTTTGGATAAATTCAATTGATCTGAAGTAGGTCTAGACATGAATACTTCTTAAATTTCCAGGCGCTTGTCACTTGAACCTAGGATATCAAACCATTGCTCTCTGCTACATACCTAAAAGGGAAATTGTGGGGTCAAAGAGTATGTACATTTTAAATTATCACAGATATGAGTGTGCTTATTTTTGCACACCTTTAATAACACAATTTAATAATTTTAATAACATTGTATGTTGTAATTCCAGTCTGCATTTCATGTAAATTAGGTTGAGCATCTTCTCATTTGTTTAAGAGCTAATTGTGAACAGTCCTTTTGCAGTTTTTTTTTTTTTTTTTAAAGATTTTATTTTTTTCCTTTTTCTCCCCAAAGCCCCCCGGTACATAGTTGTATATTCTTCGTTGTGGGTCCTTCTAGTTGTGGCATGTGGGACGCTGCCTCAGCGTGGTCTGATGAGCAGTGCCATGTCCGCGCCCAGGATTCGAACCAACGAAACACTGGGCCGCCTGCAGCGGAGCGCGCGAACTTAACCACTCGGCCACGGGGCCAGCCCCAGTCCTTTTGCAGTTTTAATTTGGGTTTATACTATTAAGATTTTTTTTCACATTATTAAGTTCTACAAGTTACTAGTGTGTTGCTAGAAACAGTGGTCCATGGCAGAACTCTTTATTTTAGAAATGTTTATTTTGATTTATTCAAGGAAGAGAACTGGGAATGCTAGTCCCTGGGGTTACTCAAGCCCTCTCTTCATTTGCATAGATTGTCAAACTTTGTGATATTACAAAACAATTATAAAAAAATTACCTCTAGATCTGCACTGTCCAGTAGAGTAGCGACTAGTCACATACAGCCATTAAGCACTTGAGTGTGGCCAGTCCAAACTGAGGTATGCTGTAAATATACAAAGTAGATTTCAAGGACTTAGTACAAAAAAAGAACATAAAATATCCCTTTAAATACTTTTTTATATTGATTATATGTTGAAGTGATAATATTTTGGATGTGTTGGGCTAAATAAAATATTAAAACTTCACCTGTTTCTTTTTCATTTTCTTTTTTGATGTGGCTACTAGAAATTTAAAATTACGTGTAGCTCGCATTTTATTTCTTTTAGACAGTGCTACTCTAGACTGATATTCACTTGCATAAGTTGTAACTCTAAAGTTATGGTGACAGGTAGGTAACTTACATACTTTGTACAAAATCTCCCTCTAAACTGCTAATTTTGAAATTGAAGTCATGAAAGGCAGATTGAATAGATAGAGCCCTTTGAGAGTCACTAGTTATTAGTCCACTCGCCCTATGATCCTTTTGATATCTGCAGTTGGGAAGTATAAAATCCCACCAGGATGGGGGGAGTGGGAAGGAATGCACTGGTAATTTGACTTAAAAAAGTGGCAGGAGTTTTATTTTCCCAATATCCCTAATAGTAAGACTCCCTACCCTGTGTGTAAACTTTTAGGGCATGCACCAGGTCTCCTTATTTGTATTTCTGCATATAGGTGATGACTATTAAATGCTGATGGATGTGAACCCCAGCTTTGGTTTCTGAGCAAGAGAATTTCTGAGGCTCCATGATGTATAGTCCTTCATGATAGGAACTTTGCTACTCGTCTGTTGTGGTTCATTCTGATAGACATTTGAAGCAAAATCAACTAAGATAATGAGAAATGTAGTTTCTGTTCCCCTGTCAGCTGTTAAAGGAAAGGAGGCTGTGGAGGGCCAAAGGAACTTCGACAAAGTTTAGAAACTTGAACTTCGGAAAAGTTGTTTCCCAGCACTCCCATGTGTGCCTGCACCTGGAGCTCTCATCAGTGCACTTCAGGAAACATTTTCTGTCACACCCCTGACAGGCTCATTACTGACCTGACTAAAGGGCTCACAGGAAAGAGAACATCACACCTTTCTAGTCCTAAGGAGTAAAGCTCAGGGGAGCTGTGTTTTTGGAAAGTGGAGAATAGAAGCAACAGTCATTGGGTGACAGGTAGTAAACCACGTAAGAAGAGGGTTAACCTCAGTTTGAATTATTATGTACAAAGACTTCCTTTGGTTTCTCTTTAGGGGCAAGCTGTGTGTGATTGATTGGAAGACATCAGAGAAACCAAAACCTTTTATCCGAAATACATTTGACAACCCACTGCAAGTTGTGGCATACGTTGGTGCCATAAACCATGATGCCAACTATAGCTTTCAGGTCAGGACACTGAGCCTCTACTTACTTAAAGCTTTGCTGAATGATTTTTTATAGCTACTTAACTCCTTATAACTTCTGCTCTGTTTGTATCCTACTGCTTAATCTGTTCCTTGTCCTTCTACCACTTTAAAAAGTCCTTCCCCCCTCCTCTTCCTGGGCTTCCTGTTGTTGTTAATAGTTCCTTAGTGATCACAGTCCATTCTTCAATGTCTTAATTGTCGTCTTTGTGTTCTTATGTGCCCTAGTGCCATCTTTCATCAACCTATCGTATAAACTGAGTTAGGAGATTTTACTATAGATTGTTTTGTTCTGAGTTTGCCCTGGAGTAAGAAGAAAATGAATCTAAACTCTGGTCTTACTGTAGAAATACTGTAATTGCCCTGTGTTTCTTCCTAGGTTCAGTGTGGCTTAATTGTAGTGGCCTACAAAGATGGATCCCCTGCCCACCCACATTTCATGGATGCTGAGCTCTGTTCCCAGTACTGGGCAAAGTGGCTTCTTCGACTAGAAGAATATACAAAGAAGGAAAAGAAGCAGAATAGTCAGAAACCAGATTAGGGTCAGGATGCTGTTTGAGAACATTCAGCCCTTTCCTACAGTTTGGGAAGGTATATCACTGTTTACTGTGATCTAAAAATGGAGATGCTACAGGATCTGAGCGCTACATTAACATAAGCAGAAGTATTAATTTGTTGAAATTTCTTGCATCCAAAAGGACTGAAAAGCCAAAAAAGTTTAGATTTAAAGAGCTGGACTTCAGCACATAAAAGACCAACTGTGTTACCTCTGACTGTTATTTACCTGAAGAAAGAGCAAGCAGGATTAGCACAGTGTTGGTGGCTCTTGGACTTCCCTGTAGACTTTTCTGGGTCCTGGGCAGGACGCCCAGTGTCTGATTGAGATTGGAGGGCAGTGAGGCTTGGTGTGCCAAGCATTTCCCCAGGGTATGCCAGGAGGGAAGGGGCCATGCACCCCCAGGGTGTATGTGGAGGGAGAACTCCCATCAGCCAACTATTACTGCCAGTGCAGTTTCATAAAACTTGTTTTATATATTGGGGCTTTCTATATACTTCATTTGGGGAAAAAAATTTCATTTAACATTTTTGAAAAATAAGTGTGTGATTCCTTAGACTCAAGTAAACATTGCTGTCTGGAAAGATGGAGCCTATTTACCATGTCATTGGCAGTATCCCATGGCACACCACCAAATAACCCCCAGAAGTAGCCAGACTCCAATCTGAGAATCGTAATTGTACGTATCTTAGTAGCCATATTCTGGCTTGAGTCAATGAATCATGTACCTAGAGAAAATGTATCATTTGTAGACTTTTTCAACTATGGAAGACAACAAAATCTAATAATTTTTTGTACGTTTGATAAGTAATAAAAATTATTAGTTGTTACTGGGTTTGGAAAACTTAAATACCTACCATGGCCTTGTGGGGGGAGTCCCTGTTTTATGGAGTAGGTTAGCATTTTAGTTACAGTTGCTGTCTTAAAAAAGTTGGGTGCTGCGATTACTTTTTTCTTTCATTAGCCATTATAAGAAATAAAATATAAGATGTGAGTAAAGTAATAAGGCTTTGGTTTTGTTTCTTTTATTTAAAGTTCTGTGTTTATAGAATAATTTCATAAACCTGAGAATTGTTTAGATTTTGTTTTTAGATTTAGAAGTTTACCACTGGCCCAGTAGCGTTGGTATGTGTTCTTTGTAAATGCATACAAGAAGGAGGTGTCCTCAACCATGGTCACCTGGCAAGGAAAGGAAGATTCAGATGGGAGGGAGGAGGATTGAGGGAGACCTTTTATTGACTTTATACACTTCCGCATTTTTTTTTCAAGTAGCATATATTCCTGTAGCCTGTAATTTCCGAAGCTGGAAATTAAGTGAGATAATTAAAAGTTGTACCAGCAGATTTTGCTACACTGCTCTGATAAGCCTCACCTTAGAATTTAGAAGACTAGACCCAGCAAGACTTCATTTTAAGACAGTTCTCTTGGGTTAATGTAAATGTGCCTTGGACATTTCACTTTGTGCTGAGTCTCCCAAGCTGATGGTGCCGTGACGAGTTCCATGGAAGTCCCTCAGAGTCTGACCATGAAGAGGTGGTGTGTGGACAATGAAGGTAAATCCCAGGTGAAAGCCTGGTTCAGGCTTCCCTGAATCACACAGGGGAATACCAGTTTCTCACTGCAGTCCTGATACTCCTTAAATCTCACCAATTAAAGAGGTCTCAATCCTCTGGTTGAGTTATCTTCACTGCTAAGCCTTAAGAGGAGAGAGCCAAATTTGAGTTTCTAAATGAGTCACAACTTTTCAAGAATTAACATCAATCTTAGTAATTTTTGGAAACCACCTGTTCCCCTGTGTGATATATGGTGTAATAAACTCCAGTGAAATGAAACAGGATTTGTCAGGAGAGATTCTCTAATTAAGGGTAGTAATTAAAAAATATATATATATATATTTTTTTCTGGAAAACATTAGCTCTGAGCTAACATCTGTTGCCACTCTTTCCTCTCTCTTTTTTTCCTCCCCAGAGCCTCAGTATGTAGTCGTAGATTCTAGTTGTAAGTCCCTCTAGTTTTTTGTGAGCCGCCACCACAGCATGGCTGCTGACAGGTGAGTGGTGTGGTTCTGTGCCTGTGAACCAAACCCTGGGCCACCAAAGCGTAGCGCACCGAACTTTAACCTCTAGGCCATCGGGGCTGGCTTAAAATATTTTTTAAAGGAGGTATAATTGCTCTTCTGAGGAGGCTTCCGCACAAAAGTGCAGAAGGGAGCCTTCCCGTCTGGAGATTTGAGACTCCATTAGACTGAAAGCTAGCTGCATGTCCTTTTCTTCTGCGATTCCACACGTTCTTCATGCATTAAGCAGCCGACAAAAGCTCCCTGCTGGCACTAAAAACCAATTATTAATTGTTTCCAAAAACTTTAAGCCTTTTTTTCCCCCTCAGATCTGGCCTCTTAGAGCCATTAGCCCCTGTTAATCTGAGGACATTAACATCTATAAACCTATTACAGTTCTAGGAAAGCTTGTCAACCTGTGACCTCTTGTTTCATATGTGTGGACCCTGGTAAACACAGGAAGAGGGTTCATCAGAAGTGTTTCTAGGGAACCAGTTTGCCTGTCGGCTTTAACAGGAGTTGGAGAGGGGGAATTTGTTTTAATCACCGTGTCTTTCCACCTGAGCAATTAAACATTTCATTATAACCTCCCCCACCCCACACACAAAAAAAGTGAAGAAGGGAATAGTTGGAGCTTTTATTTTTAAAGAAACACTTCATCTGTTTGGAGCTGGTGCCCTGAAGAGGAACGTTGTCTTAAAGCAAACCAATCAATTACTAAGGAAAAGGCAGACCTGACCTGACCTGCCTCCCTGGCCCGCCGCCTCAGAGGCCCACAGGTTAGGCAGAGACGTGCTGCTGCTGGGAGTCTAACCTACAGACCCTCTTGGGTTATTTACACTATAGAAGGGAGCTTGAGAGAGTCTCTGGGGACAAGCCCCTGATCGAGCCTTGACCATAGTAGTTGTCAGGTTTGAGTGACGAATTTGTGAAGATCGCATGATAAAATGATATTCTGCGTTAGAGTGAGATTTAAGTTTTTTCCTTTTTGCTCAAGAGATGGGTAGAGAGGGAAAAAAATAGAACACTTTACTTAGAATCCCATTTTTCTCTCCTCTGAGACAAACCATCATAAATTTGTGTATCTTTCTGGTGTATCCTTTTATAGTTTGACCACCTGTGCTGGTCTCCATGAAGGATATACAGTTTTGCTTCTGTGTTTTGGTTTTCACTTGGTCTGAATATTTGTTTTTGAGATCTCTCCAGGGTGACCACTTCTAGATGTAGCGCATGGCATTTAACTGCTGTGCAGGACTCCCTCAGGCTTGTCTTGCCGTTGGACTGGTAGGCTAACAGTGTTTTGCTACTACAGACAATGCTGCAGTGATAAACACCCTGTGTGTGTTTCCCAGCACACGCGAGGCACATGCAGTGCAGTGGAAGTGGGATATGGACGTGGCGCTGCCACTTACTAGCTCTCAAAGCTCGAGCAAGTTACCTGACCTTTCTGTGCCTGATTTCCTCCTTTGTAAATTGGGGGGAAATAACAGCACCCACTTGTTAGAGTTGTGAGGATTAAATGAAGTAAGCGCTTAGAGCAGTACCTGACATGTCGTAGGAAGAAAATAGATGTTAGCCATCATCATCATCATAAAATGATCAAACCCAGACGTGTCTGCTGGGTCACAGCATATGCACAGCCCAAACGTTACTGCCAAATTCCTCTCCCAAAAGGTGATAGCAACTTGCGCTCCCACCAGTGGTTTCTGAAATTTTCTGCTTTCCCACATATTCATTCACACAAGAGTTTTAAGACTTTTTTTTTTTTTTTTTGGCCAATACAGGGTGAAAACAGTTAATATTTGCTTCTTTGAACAGCAAAATAAGTCTGCTTAATAAATAAAGCTTGAATAAAATCTGCTTTAAAACGGGATTGCCATCTAGTGGTGGGAGAAGTAGACTGCAGTTATGGGGCAGAAGCCAAATGTGGGTGGGCCTACATGTACCTCAGGGGAATTGGGGCATTTTAGTCACTGACCCAGGTCTGGTTTGAATTAAAGCAACTGGGTGAGAATTCTATTCTTGTCTCCCCATGTTTAGGTAGCTGTGACTTTCTCCTTGCTTTTTGCAGTACAGCTACATAGAGACTTGTCTGCACAGCCTTGTGTGGTCTCTTACAGCCAAATGAATCTGGGTCACTGGCTCAGAAAAGAGAAAAAGAGGAGTGAGATGAATTAGGAATGAGGCTATTTACAAACTGGCAGCGCGGCTCCAAGCAGGGCAGGCTTTCCTTAAGCGATCCTAACCCTCCAGTGGAGAGATGGTCAAGTGCACGCATCGGGGCCATTCCCTCCAACCACCGCAGAGGACTGGCTAACTTCTTTCCAAATCAGGGGCTTGGACTCTCTGCTGCAGAGACTTCTAAAACTATGGTCTAACACGATTTAAGAGTGCATGAGGGGCCAGCCCCATTGCCGAGTGGTTAAATTCACGCCCTCTGCTTCAGCGGGCCAGGGTTTCATCGCTTTGGATCCTGGGCATGTACGTGGCACCGCTCATCAAGCCATGCTGAGGCAGCATCCCACATGCCACAACTAGAAGGACCCACAACTAAAAATATACAACTGTGTACCGGGGGGCTTTGGGGAGAAAAAGGAAAAATAAAATCTTTGAAAAAAAAAAAGAGTGCGTGAAAATGTTAGATATTAATCATCAAAGACAGATACATTTTAAAAGATCTGTACATGAAAGATAAGAGTGTAGAAAAAGCAATGTTGCTGAAATGTTAGTGTCTTTAAATAAGTACTGTCACTAAATTAATAGGATATTAAAAACTAAAAAAAGAGAATAAAGTCTAAACAACAAGCAAAGGTCAGCTGTGATAGAAGCATCCATTCAGGCCAACCTAGACTGTCCCGCAGCACCAGGCTCACGCCCATTTCTAAGCTGTTTGTGCCTATGCCATCGCCTAAAATAACTCCCCTGCATCCCTTTGTTCAGCCTCATCTTAATTTTCCAAGTGCTTGGACCTGAACCCCAATCCTACCTGATGCCCAGCTCAAGTCTTACCTTCTCCACAGGAAATGAGACGGCGTAGTGCAGACAGCAGGAGCCTCAGAATCAGGCAGACACGGGTTCAATCCCAGCCCTGGGATGTTGGGTGAGTCACTTCCCTTCCCGAGGCTGGTTTGTTTCCACACCAGTAATTTGGGGATAGCACTGACCCCGGTGATGTCAGAAAAATTAACATGGGGCAATGTGTTCCAGTGCTGGAAATGGAATAGGCACTGGGCAAATATGAGTTCCTCCTCCTCGGAGCTCACTGCAATCAGCACATGATGATTCCACCCTTCACGGAATTCCTATGGTGCCGTTTTTTACCGCCCACGTTGATTCTTATTTGTATTCTACCTTTTTCTGTTGCTTACCCATTTCAGATGTGTATCTTCTCCCTTGCTCATGGGACATATGTATATTGTCTGTCCAGTGCTGAACAAATGTGAAGCATTCAATACATATATACTGCTTGAACTGTCCCACATGTGAATGCTTCCTTTTCCATTACCGTGATCAGTAGTTACACATAAGGTATGGGGTTCTTTTAAATCCAAGACTTGGGTAATAACTACAGAACACAATACAAGGTATAGGTGGTCCCAAGATGAGAGGATTCAGTGCATCTTGAATTCAAAATCAAGAAAGTTAAAGAAGTAGACAGAAGCCACACAAAACAGTTTTAAGAGAGAAGAGAAGGGACAAAACAAACAACAAAGGGGAAACCACTCTGCCCCAGAACAGCAGAAAAAGAGCTGGGGATCAGAATGGCCCACCAGAGACGTTATGGTTAGAGACATCTGGTCAGCCCTTTGCTAAGAGGCTGTGGGTTCACTTGTAAGCTCAGTGATTGGAAGGTATAGGTAGAACTAGAGGAGTCAGACAGTAAATCAAGACTTGTAAATGGGGCTTGTGAGGCAATACAGAGGAGGACAGGATGGTGCAAAAAGCAC